GAGTGTGGGACTGTGTTGTTTGTTTTTCAGAAAAGAAAATCCATAAATAACTGAAGCAAGGGTGAGATGAGGGAATACCCATTTGGTAGTGACTACAAAATAAAAATAACTTTGTAAGATGAATTGCTAAAGGTCTTGTTAAATAAAATACATGGAGCCAGATATTGGGTGAATTCTGAAAGATCGAAGAAACAGAACAAGCCACAGCTAACCTCCCCTCAACAACTCCTCAGCGGATCCTGTTTCCACAAATCCTCAGACTGAAAGCTTCTGAGTCCTCACCCAAATGGATCTCAGCTGAACTTCTGCTAAAAGCCTAAAAGCTTAAAAGCCTCTAGTTTCTGGTCCTCAAGCCTTATATACCTTTCTGCTTCCTGACATCACTTCCTGGGATTAAAGGTGTGTGTCCTTCCCAAGCAAAGACATGGGATCTCAAGTGTTGGGATTAAAGGTATGTGCCACCACTGCCTGGCTCTGTTTCCAGCATGGCCTTGAAGTCACCGAGATCCAGGTGGATCTCTGCCTCCTGAGTGATAGGATTAAAGGTTTGTGCGCCACCATTTTCTGGCCTCTATGTCTATCTAGTGGCTGTTCTGTTCTCTGACCCCAGATAAGCTTATTAGGGTACACAATATATTGGGGGGACACAATATTACCACATAACCTAGGCAATGGTTATTAGCCACAACTACAGGATAAGGTTGAGAAAAAGGAATGGGTTTTTAGAGTCTCAAAATGTCTTCCATAAATTATGTTCTGGCTAAAAAGGGAGAAAGTACAGAGAAGATGGGCAGCATCTGCCTCAGGCACAAGACTGAAAGGAACACACCAGAAACAGGACAAATACACTACAATTGTGTATATGTTTGTGTCCCCATGGTGGGATGTGAAGAGAATATGGTTTCTGAGTTATACTGGTGAGAGAGACAAACTCCATTTTTCCTAACAGCACTAAGATAGAAACTGAACCAAGTTCCAGAAACACAGCCAGCCAGCTAAGACTCTGGGTAAGGGGACCCCCACCCCCAGGATGGGCAGGTTGCTGGCCAAGAAATAACTAAAACAAAGGCTTAATCCATCAAAGTCTCTAATAGTACTGAGGGAGTCTCCAACTGTATTTTGTCTTCTGTAGTTCTTCTCTTGGCTAAATGTTCCTGTTAACTGAAGTATGACCCTGAAATGCAAAGGCTTGTACCCCCTAGCTTTCGGTTTTTCCCTTTAAAAACCCTTCACTCTGAGAGCTCAGGACCATCCTCCTTCACCTGGCTAGCCAGTGTGTTGGACGATGACCAAGGCCGGCCTTGCTTATTTTAATAAACCCCTTTGTACTTGCATTGGATATTGGCTCTGTGGTGGTCTTGCTTGGGGGTCTCTCGACATGGGCACAACACTGGTTCTAAACATGTGCATGGCAGGGGCTGATCCAATCAAAGGACACTCTACCAAAGGACCAGCTCATAATTGTCCAAACAACCAAGGCTATGAGAATCATAGGTTAAGGAATATCCACGTGGAAGAAGACCAGCTATGACTGGGTTGCCTAAGATTGGAAACAGAAATAAAGTGAAAGCAAGCCCAGCTCTGGTGTCTAACAAGCACTTGGTGTCAGCTGTTACATCTCTTCTTAGGGATACTGATGATCTCATTTGAGCTGCACATTGAGAAACACCAATGACTTGCACCTAGCTTATCTGTGTTGGTAGCACCTAATGGTATTTGAGTATGAGGGGCTTGCCTGTCTAAATCTGGCCATTCCTTCTGGGGCTGCAACTCATCTAAAAATGAAAATACACTGAATAGCTGAATGTAGAAACTCACTGTTTTTACTACTAGCTGAAGATAAATTGACTTTGGCTGTCCCTTGCTTGTGACCAGATTTGTTGTGAATTTATCAGATATCTAATAGGCATCATTCTATGCCAGGCATGGGAATACTGAAAGATACAATACCATGTCCTGGGCCTTCGTCACCTAGTAAGGTAGACAAGAAATGGGCAAGACAGAAGGTAGCAGGAGAGTAGCTCTCAGGGCTTTATGGGGGCCATTTAAGAGGAACAGCTACTTTGGGTTGGCAGAAAGAAAAAAATGGGTGAAAGAGGCCAGGACATTCTTCCTGGAGGAAACAATGCCACCCACATCAAATAGGGTCCCGGGTCCTCAACTGAGCAAAATGTAGGCTTGGAATCCCCCAGAGTGGATGAACTGAGGGATCTGTTATGGTTTCCATCTGAAATGTCCTCCAAAGGCTATGAGCTGTAGGCTTGGTGACCAATCAGGGTCCCATTGGAAGGTAGTGTAGTCTTTGGGAGGGAAATCCAGTTGAAGTAAGTCAACGCAGTTATACCTCAAAGGGGACCACAGTGCCTAGCTGTGAGGTGAGCTGCTCTGCTCCACAATGTTCTCCCCACGGCATTCTGCCTTGCCACAGGCTCAAAGCAATGGAGCAGTTCACCATAGACTGCAACCTCTGACACTATGGGACAAGCCTTTCTTCCTTCAAGTCTCCTTAGGGTTTTGTCATGATGACATGGAGCTAACACAGCTCCACTGTGGAAGACAGGGTGGACAGCCAATCACATAATCTCCAAATCAAAGCTATAGCTGGGACTCAAGTGATTATTCTGTAAAGCACTATGCATCACTGGGATATATTCTCCAATGCCCTTGCATGAGTAGTTCCTGCCACCTGGTCCTTCTGTCCCCTATAGCCCATGTCCATAAGAACCAAGACATAATGTAGTCTCTTTGGAAAACCATTAGACATTGGACATTGGTTTTTGGCAGCATGGCACTTAAAGATTTTGTGTGTGATGAGGACTGAGGAGGTGGCAGGAGAGCAACAAATCCAAACCCAGAAAGCTGATGGCTGCTAAGAATGTTCAAATTCTTTAGCTCAAACTTGGTTCTGTGTTGAACTGTTGGGTAAGCAGGGGGAGGGAAGGGGTTAACAAACGGCATCATTGGTCCTTGGTGTGCTGAAGAAATTTAGGCATGCACACCCAACAGACTGGCTTTGGATTCTAGCAAGGGAAGCAAAGTCACTGGAGAGAATGCAAGCAGCTCCATCCATCAGTGGAGGAGTTTGCCCATTCTCTCTGTGCCCTGTTACCTTGGTGACATACCCACAGCCAGGTATTTGCAAAAATAAAGTGGGACTATATCTCTGTGATGGAGCAGCCTCATTACAGTGAAAAATGTTACAGCTTATCAACTACTCTGCTGAAACATGAAGGCAGGTGCTCAGATGTTATCATGTATTTACACCCTCCTCACTAATACAAGATCATCCTTGTGATAGTAAACGGTGGTTTCAAACTGAATCTGAACAGTAATGACACAAAGCAGACAGGCACAGATGCCCATGCATCTAGTCTTAATGTTTACATACTTGTGGTACCCCACACATCTGAGAGCTCTAGCAACTTAATTCCAGAGGCAGCTTGGAATAGGGGTAGAGAGTAAGAAAATCAAGTATCTCCAAACTCTCCAGTGCTGCTCCAATCATCCTGACAGGAGAGTCCCCGTTCACTGTCATTAATACCAGTGGTGATTTTTCAAAGCATAGAGGGTACCAGTGATACCATAACTCAGAGCACAGTACAGATTTACTGACCCATCCATTTTTGGTACCATTAAACAAAGGAAAGACTACAGAATTAAATAAGCAATAGAGCATCATTACATCCCTATATTACTATGCCATTTCAGTCCTCAAAAAGTTACTTCTAAAAAAAAAAAAAAAAAAAAAAAGCCAAGCAGTCTATTCTGCAAAGGCATGTAACAACCAAACTTGTACACAATTATAAAACCCATTTGCTTTCATTTAAACAGAATTTGATGAAAAACTGCTCTCAGTGAAGTTTGGATTAAAGCCAGCCACAAATAGTCACCTTCTGAGAATCAATATTAACCAAGAACTGTGGCAATTCAGACAGTATGCACAAATGACCCAAGAACATGGAATCCAATTATTGTAAAGATTTACAGGAAAATACTTTGGATTTCCCAAAGTCTGTTTCTAAAAGGAATCTTTAAAACACTAACTTTCCTTTCTTCTCTAGAATCTGAATCCCAATTGAGCTCCCTGCCCCGGAGAAAAGCCCTCAGGCTGGAGTACTCACAGAGGCACTGAAAAGCATGCTAAAAAACACAAAAAATATCAAATGTCTTAAAGCGCTAAAGCCACAGCAATACTTGAATACTGTGACTTGTTTTTTGGAGACAGTCTCACTATGCTACTTGTGGGCTCAGCTTCTCAAACAGAGAATACAGTGATGATAGGTATGTACCTGGATTAAAATCTATTTTTAAAGAATACTTAAGAAGGTTATGCACTGGTATTATTTGAGTCATTAATGCATTTCACAACTAACCCCAAACCACTAATCAGATATTAGAAATTAACAAATTGACTTTGAATTTCTAATAAAGGTTAATAGATAGGATTTATAAAGAAATCTGAAGGAATGAAAGCTACTCACTTTGTACTAAGGAAATGCACCAACTTCTCTCTCTCTCTCACACACACACACACACACACACACACACACACACACACACACACACACACACACACACCGAGCCCAACCACAGGGAACACAGCTTCAGGCCCTGTCTTCCAGCCCACTAGGCCTGGGAAGGTGGTATTCAGGCCTGTCTCAAGGAGAGGCCCATCTTACCATCTCAGTCACCACTTTCATTAGTGCCAGCACAGGATACATGTAGGTTCAGGTGGTAAGCAACTGAGTACAAGGCAATCTTTTTAAAGAGAAGGACACATTCTGAAACAGAAAAGCAGAATATACACAGCCCTGGCCAGCTGTGTATCTGGCAGAACCACAGACGCATGAACTAGTTTTAAAGGGAGAATTTGCTTAACAATCTGGAAATGCTAACCCTCAGATGTAAGAATCTGTTACCTTAATTTTTTACTCTTAGTAGGGAAAACATGTTTTAGGTACTCAATCCTCCCCATATAAAGAAAACAATTCAATAACAAGTTTTTAGGTTAACAAAGAATATATTAAAACAGTTTACATTCTTTCCACAACTGCATAAAAAAGCAGGCATCTTAAATAATTACAGAAACAATGTGCTTTCTATACTTGCAAAAATTAATTACAATCAGAAAAACATTTACAAGAATATCTTTACTATCTAAAGATTTACAATGGTGAAAGACCTATTTATTTAATACACCAAACATCTGCCTGCTAGCTGAAATAGACATTCTCTAAAAAACTGTTTACTGGATACAGTGATTAATGTCTTTCATTATTTTGTTTCTTAGCATTTAAAATAGTTACATGAGTGGAAGGATAGTTTTTGACACCAAAATAAACTCTTTCAGCCTGACATCTTTTAAGATACAGTATAAAAAAAGCAATAGAAAAACCACAACTGCATTATAAATGTTTTTGGTTCAAAATTTTATTTGAAGTCTTATGCTTTATTCCTAGACAAAAAAGGTGACAAACACTGGTAATTTGTAAACTCTAACAGATATGCAGACCCTACATTTAGATAAAAAATACTTTTTTTCTTTTTTTTTTGTAACAATGTTATTTTATAAATCTTCAAAAATGTAGCATAGGTTCAAGTCCTGGAGCACTGAGCTGGCAATGCCTGGTTTGGAGATTATTGCTCTGTAGCTACACAGGAGATGACCATGCAGGGAGATGGTCTTAAAAAAAAGTGACACTCTGAGGTGTTTAGAGACCAGACACTCACCATAGGGAATGAGTGCAGTGGACAGCTACACAGCCTGGCACTAGCTTCATTCACTAAAAGGTGGACACTTTTAGTTCATCTCTAAAATGCATAGTTCAAAAAAGCAGATGGCAAGAATCAGTAACTGCAACCTAATTTTATTTCCCTTCTCTGAAAAGGAACAAAATAGGAAATGCAGACATATTTAGGGATTTTCAATGGCCTTTTCAAGTGAAAGGATAAAAGTCAAAATTCCACATACAGCTTCCATAGTATATAAAGTCAATTAGTATTTTATAAAAATGTTTGTTTTAATATAAAGACTGCCTTTGCTACCATGGGAGTAGAGTGCTGGTGAGCAGATGGGTGGTGTCTCAGCTAGAGCACACCTTGAAAATGTAAAGAACTCTTGGCGAAAGTAAATAGGGAATTTGTCTCCCCCTAATTTCCTTTCCAGGTATGATACTCCCTTGGGGGAGTAAAATCAAAATTTTGCCTTTTGAAAAACAGTGAACTGTGGATATTGCCTATGGAGAGGCTTTTAATTATAACCTACATGGAACAGAAAAAGAAAAAAAAAAAAAGAAACCCAAACCCTAAGTACCAAATCAAGTTGTTAAAACTAATTTTGGACCTTTGCCAGTGCTTTAATACACGTTTGCATGTCAGAGAGTGACAATTTCACTACTATCCACTTCAATACTCCCATAGACATCCTCACAAAAGACAGGCAGAAATGTGTATGTTGTGCATACAGTTCTTGGAAAGTACATGGAAGCTGCAATGTGGCACTTCCTCCAACCTCTGAAGCCCCTAGAAGAAATGGTGGTGGTCCAGGGTGTGGTGAGGCTATGCACCAATAACTTCATGCTGGCTAGCACTGCTTATCCCAACGACACCCGAGTTTCAAGCTGGCGGAGACAAAGCACTGTCAGTTCTAAAGTGCCCACTGAAAGCCGCTATAATGCAAAGGGCATACCACAGAGTTCAGCGGCTTTCACAATGTTGCTGCTGACTGTTGAGCACTTCACAAACATGCTTCCATTTCTCTGCCCTCCTTAGCGCATGGCCATTACTGATTATATGAAGTGATTGACAGCTTGTCATAAAAAAATCTAATTGTGACTATTGCTGATTTAAATTCTCACAATTTTCATACAAAAAGAAAGTTTCAAAGGACCACAAAGTACCAAATATTTGTCTTATCAAGTGTCAGGATAATTTACTAAAGTTGGGGTTTGTCTTTTCTTATTGCTAAGGTATTCTAAAATCTGACTCAATACTGCAAACAACTCCTTTTCTTCCTCATATGTTTTTGGCCTTAGAAACATGGCTAAGGGTTACCTCAAACTTAGGTGTCTGAAATAATAAATTAAGAAACCCAAAACCAAAAACCCAACAATACCCTAGTATCCCACTACCCAGAAAACAAAAACCAAAAACCTCAATCAAGTCATTATAGTGACACCTTGGAATGAGGAACCATGCAATTCACCAACATTAACCCAACTTCAACAGTAACAGAATCAAACCCCTGCTGACTGAGGTCCAGAACCACAATATTTCAGAGTTTGTTTCTGAAGCTATAAGGACATTCCAAGCCAATATCAATTTATCCCAAACCTAAAATTCATACAACAATTTCCAACCTTTATTTAAAAAAAAAAAAAAAAAAAATGTTGTCTTAGGACACAGTTCACAAGCCAGGGGCCTGCTGTTTTCTGACAGGTGAGAGGGGTAAGTCATTTAATTGTGTGTCTGCTCATGACTCCAAAGACTGAAGGCGGTCTTGAATGTCCTATGGCAGAGCTTGCACATGAATTGTCTTTTAAATGTGATTGCTGAAAGGGGAGGGGCGTGGTAGAAGAGGGTGTCTGACTCCTGGGGTGCAAACAGCTTCTCTGTGGCTGGGGTTGGGTTCTCAGGAAGGCCTGTGGGACTGTCGGGCTCCAGGGGCTGGATCTTGGGCAAGGGTGGTGGAGGTGGCAGAGGTGGTGGTGATGGGGAGTTTGTGGGCACAGGACACACTTCAGCCTCTTTCTGTGCAGGCTCCTCTGTGGCCTGAGACATGTGGGACTGGAAGTGACTCCAAAGCCGGAAGTTGGTACGGAAGGCTTTGTGGCACACATGGCAGATGAAGGGCTTCACGGAACACAGCAGCTCCTGGTGTCTCTCCAGCTGCTTGTGTGCTGTGAACATCTTCCCACATTTCTCGCAAGGCCACAGACCAGCCTCCTTGCTGGGGCCAGCCTCCCTGGGAGCTGCACTGGCCTCAGGAGCCTCCTCCTCAGCCTCCTCTACAGGCTCCTCTTTGACTTGGACTTTCAGTTGCTTTGAAAGACTCAAGTCTTCAGGGAGGCAGGAGGAATCCTCAGAATCGAAGTTCACTTGCTCTGAAGAGTCACTAAACGCTGTGTCCTCTTTTGGAGCAGCCGCATGGTTTACCTTGGTAGGCTCAGCCTGAGGCCTGGAAGCAGCTGCCACTTCACCGTTGTGGTCCAGGGTGGGCAAGGAGATGTTCTCTGCTGAAGCCATGTTGTTCTGGTTGTGCACTTCCACCTGGTGCCGCCAGATGCTGAAGGAAGACTTGAAGGTGCGCATACACTCCAGGCAGGTCAGCTTTTTGTACTCACACCTGTCCTCATGCTCCTGCTTCAGCGCGGGGGAGAAGAACCTGAGGCTGCAGTAAGGGCAAACGGTGGCGTTCCGGCACAAGCGCTCGTGGTTGCCTTGCTCTAGAAGAGAAGAGAGCTTAGCATTACAGAGGCGGCACGGGTAAACCTCCTTGCTCTCTACCGCGCGTGCCAGAGCCCGCTCTTTCGGCTTAGCAGCTCTGCTTACTCCGAGGGGCCTCTCTCCCGGGTGCATCTTTATGTGCTGCTTAAACTGAGAGAGAAAACGGTATGCTTTGCCACAGTAGGCACAAATGTAGGCCCCTTTGGCTCGGGAGCGCAAGTTCCTCTTGATGACTTGCTGTGCTGGGGAGCTACTCTGTCCCTGGAAGCCAGGCTTGCTGCGCCTCAGCTTAATGATCAGGGCCTTCTTAATCTCCCTCTCTCTCACTATGTCAATCAGTTTTCTTTGGAATTTCTCATCCAAAACTGCATGGGAACTAGAGGCTGGCGATGGGTTCTTCACTATGCCGTGTTGGGTCTGACAGTGTGTCCACACTTTGAAGTTGGTATGAAACCTCTTGTGACAGATGTCACAAGTGTAAGGCTTCTCTGGGTTATGGTACATGTTAACATGGCGGTGAAGACCCGCGGTTGATCTAAAAATCTTAAGGCAATGTTTGCATTTAAATTTTTTGTTTGGTCTCGTCCCCTCCAACTCACCAAACTCCTCTCTGTTTAATTCAGAATCTGGGAAGTTGCTGTCAAGGGAAGGAGGGTTCCTGTCCTCCTCACAGTTCTCTTCTGAGACAGAAGGCCCATGCTCATTTGCCCTTGCTTTCTTCAAGGGTGACCTTCTGTCTGCCTGGAACCTTCTCTTTGCTGGGAGTCTGCTAATATCCCTCTGGTCTTCCTCTGCTTTGAAGGGCAGGTCTCTTGTAGCCGTTGCTGCATCTCCCACGGTGACCCGGATGATGTCTGAAGGGTCCGACAGAGGGCTGCTAGGCTCAGTCTTAATGCGCACCTCAGTCACAGGGGAGGTCCCCTCCCTGTCTGTTGACTGAGAAGCACTAAAGGACCTGAGGCGATGAGGCTGGAGAGCTTGAGGCCTGTCATCCAGGGCTTTTTTTTCACTGCCATCTTTTAAAGATGACTTTTGAGACACTGCACAGAACACACTGCCTGGTGCCTCATTTGCTGCTGTGGATGATCCCTGGGATAACTTCAAATCTATAGAGGAGGAGTAAACAGGAACCTGGCTGTCCATAGAAAGTGACCGCCTGAGGAGGCTTTTCACTAATGGGCCACTTCTGTCAATGCTCTGGTTTGCAGAAGCAGGCCCACTGGATGGAACCACCAGGCCTAGCTTAGAGTAGTAGAGCAAGTTCCTATCCTCCCCCTGACCACCTCCTTTGCTAGTTTCTTTTAAGAGATATGGAGTCTCTGATGAGCTACGAAGAGACAGAACAGGTGGCCGTGGTCTCTTCAGAGCCAGCTCTATAGCCTTCCCCTTGGGAAGCTGGCTGCTCACCCCAGGCTTATCGTCCGTGGCCTCCCTGTCTTGTGAAGGCTTTGAGGGTAGGACTGCATTTCTCTTAACCAAACTGCCCCTGTTAGGATCATCCAAAGCCCCAGGCTGTTCCAGAGACTTTGTATATACCGCAGCACTATCCTTCGGCCAACTCTTTTCAGTTAAGGACAGACTGTGAAGCTGCTCTGGCGGCTTGGCCACATGTGGCTTATTGGTGCTGGTCTTGACTGCACCACTCGGGGAGGACCGGGCAGCAAGGCTGAGGTCCTGCACGGTTGGACCACTGGCTTTCCCTGGCACTTCGCTTCTGCCCTGACACACGATGACACTTCGCTTTTGAGAGCTGGTCTCATCATCTTCCACCGGTACTCTTTTCCTGTTGGGACAGGCTGGAAAAGGAGCCTGAGGGGCTTTGGCAACGATGTTGGTCAAGAAGGAGATACCAAGGCTATACCCCAGCTCCTGCACAGCAGCAAGGCTGCCCTTCTCCACAAAAAGGGAAGAAGAGTAAATGTAGTTCAGAACGTTGTCAAAAGCATCAGGCTCACAGAAGTCCAGCTGAAAGACAGTCTGTGCCTCGTTCTCCTTATTCGTGAATAAACTCTGGAAGTACTCACTGCTGGCAGCCAAGACGTTCTTATGAGCTCGGAACTTCTGGTCCCCAACAATCAGGAGTACATCACACAGCTGTCCCTTGAGGCGCTCCTCATTGAGGGCGCTGAGCAGAGAGATGGCATGTGCTGGATTGATGTAATGCAGCAGTCCCTCCATCCTGCAGTTTATCTGGAAGACAGAAAGTGAGACCATCAGCATTTGTATTCCATCAAAGGTCTGCTCGAACTTAATAGGTATACACAGAGGTGACACTTGAAAATGAGGTTTATCATTTAGGGTCCTTACCAATTTGATGCTTGGCTACATTTAGTTTATTTGATCGTCAAAATTCCTCAAGTCTATAATTCTACTTTAGTTTTATTACTATCTTATATTTTAGGTTTTACAAGATATATACTTAAAATCAACATGACTGCTAAAAATTAATAATGGACTGTGGACTTATAAAAATGAACTTGGAAAGGGAATCATTACTTGCTAATTACTAGGTCAAAGTGTTCAATAAAGGTTAGAAGCTTTAGAGAATTAAAAGGTTGTTTTCCTTCTTATACTAATTGCTTGTGATTTTTTAAATGCTGTTTTCTCACTACATGCCATTTTCACCAGAACAGAGAACTTTAGCCTGGCTGTAAAGCTGATTAAAGAGTTTGAACTAAAGGGTCACTGAAATTCTGTTCAATCCTAAAGGTGAGAGAAGGAAACTTGGTGGGTGAGTGTGAGTTTTGGGGCCAGACACTTGGCTGAGGTACTAGCTCTACCCTGTAAGCTGATGCCCTCTGTACACGGGTCCGTGTGGGAAGTGAGGTAACAACTGTGCCCTCTTGCAAGTGTGTGGCAAACATTAGATGAGCAAGCATCTATAGCAAACACTCAATAAATGTGCAGATAACTGTCAGAACTGCAAGAATAGGTTTAACTTAGTATCAAAGAAGAAGGTCCAGGTTACCACTCCCTCCCTGGTGCTCTAGGGAAAAGCAGGCTTCCCATGGGACATGATGTATGAGCACCTCCTCTCTGTAGTCTAGTTTATATCACTGACTCCTACTAACAGTATTGTCATGGAGCTAGGGGGATGTAGCTTAGTGGTAGAGTACTTGCCTAGCACATGTAAGGCCCTGAATCCTATCACCAGCACTAGTGTGTGTGTGTGTGTGTGTGTGTGTGTGTGTGTGTGTGTGTGTGTGTGTGTGTATGTATGAGGGAGAGACAGACAGACAGACAGACAGAGACACACACACAGAGACAGAGGCAGACATTGATTTTTACTATTAGAATGTACCCACAGTGACTAGATACATATTCTAGAGGGATTGCTACCAAGAACCATACCCAGCCCCAGATGTAACAAGTCCCCAGCTCCCAGATCTCCAGGGTCAGCCTTTACTGGTCACTTGGAGACTAGGCTCTTTGGTTTTCAGAGAGAACAGAATGCAAGATGTAGATGGGGTGTGGCTCTGCTACTAGAAATGAATCTAGCACCCACCAGGTTTCTCTTCATTCTTGTCTGCTTTTCTTTAAGAGTGACATATAATTCGTTTACTTATAACAAGGTCTTGGGTGAGATCCTTTTCTTCTGCCAGCCATTTCCATTTCTCCCTCACTCCTAGTAAACTGTAAGAACCACACATCTGTGTAAAGACATGTCTCATTTTTTACAGGGGTCAGCAGAAAAGCATTGAGCTTTTACTGCCACAGGACTGACTCAGCCATGCACTGGCAGTCTGTAGCACTGAGAATTTCTCAAGATGTTGACACCAGGGAAACAGCAAACCAGAAGCAAAGGTTGGACAGATATTTGTCAAATGGGGTTTTTTTTTTTTTTCCTAAACTCAATTTAATGGTTTGAAACCAGCAATTAAAAACAGATAAAGCACTAACAGAGAAAATGTCAGAAAGTACTAAATGTGTCAAGCACTTGGGAAACCAGTTTCAGTTACAGATAGACATATGCCCTGTGTGCAAGTATGCACCCAGTTGAGTTGTCAAAGAATTTTTTTCTTGGAGGTCAGAGTCACCTGTGTTCTGGGCCAGTCAGTTACTCAAGTCTTAATCTTTCCCTTGCACAGAAAACAGGGACAGTAACAGTTTCCACACAATGCTGCTGAGGGACAAATGGGATGATTATTCCATCAGTCGGTACCTACAAATAGTGTCTATCTATCTACCATCCATCCATCCATCCATCCATCCATCCATCCATCAGTCATGGAAGTACATTTGAGAAGACTCAAGAGAACAGAGCATGAGCCTAGGGATTATGAAGTAAAGACAATACAACAGAGGAAAGAACCAAGGTCATGTAGAACTGGAGCCAAAAAAGCTGGGAGTCATGGATGATATCATCTCAGGAGTCAGACTGTAAGGCTGGGTAGCTGGGAGGGGATTTTACTATGTGTGTGTGTGGGGGGGGGGCAATTGGAGGACCACAGGGAAGAAGCCTGAGTCATGTTTTAATTATAACATTTCTAGCTTTATTGTGGACAGCAGGTAACAAAGCAAAAGACATCGGAGAAGTCTACTGCCATGATGGCTTGGTGGGGCTAGCATTGGATGTAAAGGCAGAGCCATTAGGCTTTCTAATGGAGTAACTACAGAGCAATGGGAAGAGTCAAGGATCCTGCCAGGACAGGGAGAAGGGTGGCCTTTGTTGAGATGGATTTGGCAGAGAAATCAGGCTGCTTCTCTCCCTGCCTCTCCTTTTCTAATCGATTCAGTTCTGACACTCTACAAGCAAGTGACAACTTATCAATCTTGCCTCCACATCTTTCTATTTCCTTTTCTGAGCTTTCTGAAATCTCTGTCCATACAAACATCTATATCTAGATCCTTGTTTCAGGATCTACTTTTGAGAAAAAACCAAGACACCACGATAATCTAAAACCACAGGTGTAAGCTAGCATCTACCCAGAATGTGCTAAAACTCTAACCACAGAGGATGTCAACAAGACAAGCACAGCCTAGCTTCTGGAGTTCAGTCTTGCATAGGAATAGCATACAGCAATCTGTTAACACTGTACAGTTATGCAGGTACAGAGAAATGTCTATGGATATCATAGAAGATGCAATACAGGTGGCAGCCACCAGACTGAGGTGAGGTAGCCAGATGAGGGACCAAAGCATGGGGAAGAGACAGGCAGAAAAGGTAAGGTAACCCAAATGGGGACAGGGCAGTATGTGCAGCATTACAAAAAAGAGAACAAAAGTCATCCTGGAACTATCATGACACTGATCTAGATACTCATTTTGACTCTGGGAACCAAAATGAAGACACTGGAAATCATAAGCAGAAGAGTGACACCTGTTCCTACAGTCTCTGGAGAGACTGAAGAGAAGGCCAGGTGGTATGGATTCACCTTCACTTATGGGTTGCTTTTACACTTTAATTCAATTATAAGGACTGGAAAGCAATAGTCCCAGTCCTGGTCTCCCTACAAATATCTTCCCAAACTCTGCCTGAGATGGTTCTACTTAATGTTGTTTCCTGGAGATTCAAAGTGGGGAAAATGGAGAGAATTATTACAGTAAAAAGCTCATGGTAGACAGCTATCCATGGGGAAGTCTTCGGTCTACTGCCATCTATCAGGAATGCAATCTTGTCAGGACTACTTGTCCTTTCTGATAGCCCTACCTGTACCATGTGGAAATCTCATGAAGCACAAACAAAACAACTTGTGAATGGTTCAGTCTGCAGCGCAAATCCCACCTGGCAAGTACACATCTTCCTTCTCTCTTCCTCTCCCGAGTGTTTGGGAGCCCGCTGTACACTGTGCATCGTAAGAGGTGCTGATGATGGGAGGTGAGCTTGCTGGCTGGCTTCCTGTTCTCCTGCACCTCACATTCCTGTGACTGGGCAGACAACAATGTGATAAAGAAGGCACAGAGTATGGAAGAACACTCATATCAGGAGGCTATCAATGTGGCCAGGAGGTGGGAGGGTGGATGAGTGAGTGACTGGTGGGACATCAGAGAGGGCTTGGGACTCACTTGATATTGAAGTTAAAACCAAAGGCTCAGAACTTCCAAGAATATTATCTGATTGACCCAGGCTTAAAATCTTTTAAAGCTTACCGTGGCCTCAAGTCAAATCGCCCAAAGGACTCTAGAGCCCCTCACAGCTAGACTCAATGAAATTACTTCATCCCATCACACAAATGCCTTTAATACACTAGATGCTGAAGTGAGACATCTATATCTTAATATAAATTAATTAAACCCAAGTATTTCCGTTCTTATGTTACACATAATGAGGACTTTGGGGCTTAGGAAGGCAGGCAATTTTGGAGCAGAGTATTCTGAGGATAGATGCATAAGAAAGGGAAGCACACAGTCAGAAACTCAACAGATACTACAAAGGAAGGGTGAGAAGGAGATGGCGATAATTCAAAAATGATTTCCCCTATTTCAATTTAAGAAAATGGTTCCATAACTAAAGATCATTACAAATGAGCTAGGCTCTGGGACTAGTCCAAAAAACTCACAGTAACAGCTCTGTGGGAAATGTCCCTTTACGAACTTTAGGCTAAGCTCTGTAAACACTGCCCCTTTGCAATGTTGGAGAGTGCTTACAAAAACCTAACATGACCCTGGAACTCTAGGGATGCTGGTGACACAGGTGAACATCCAACATCTGACTCCATATGCACAGCTCATCTCCAAACTCTTACTTCTGGATTTAGCCCTCTCTCTCTCCACTTGATCATATCATCACTCACCTGGTAACATTGCAGCTATCCAGAAATTATCTAAAGTGCCTCAGGTTTCAAAGCCAGATTGGCTAAGGGGATCCTTCATGGTATCAAGTTACTGTACTCTACTTCAACACATTTCAGCCTCCCTCTCTAGTTCAAATTTGTTTCAAGGGCAGATTGTCAGCCTCAGCCAGGACTGCAAACAAGCATTCTCTGCTGATCTGTTCTGGCCACCCAGCAGCTATTGCTCCTTCTGCAGTGACCCTCTGTGTTGCTTTGAAGAACACTCTTGCCTAGCAAGTGCAAGCTGATGGTTATAGGCACATACCCAAAACCAGGCCAACTAGAAACTTTCTCCCTAAACTATGGTTCATGACAAGACAAAGGCAACAGCTGAGTGGAACTGATGGATCTCAGTATGGTCTGAAAATTCAATGTGTTAGTGCCTGACTCATACATTCCAAGTGGTTTGGTTTTGTCCTTTGTGGTCCAAGGTTTTTTTTTTTTTTTTTTTTTTTTAAGATTTTCCTCAAACCTCTAGAATAATCATGTATTGTTTTCAATAAATTCAACCAGTTAGCCAGTTTTTATTCTGGCATATTTCTACATGCTGCCTGCTCCTGTTCTGCCTTTCAGGCTCATCCTTCATATGCTAGATTTCTCAAGCAAGGCTTTCATTAGTGTCCCAGCACACAATCTCTTCCATGAATTCAGTTTGCTCACTGGCTCTTTCCATGCACAAAGCATGGTTAAATGTATCTGAACGCCGGGCGTTGGTGGCGCACGCCTTTAATCCCAGGACTCGGGAGGCAGAGGCAGGCGGATCTCTGTGAGTTCGAGGCCAGCCTGGGCTACCAAGTGAGCTCCAGGAAAGGCGCAAAGCTACACAGAGAAACCCTGTCTCGAAAAACCAAAAAAAAAAAAAAAAAAATGTATCTGAACACATGGGTACTCAAAACATAAAGCCCCAGTGTCTAGAGATAAGGGAACCCCAAAAGTTGATTTCAAAGTGCTAAATATCTTGATGGAGAGAGAAGTGCGATGTCTGGTGTAGTCCTCAGGAGTGCAGAGGGAGCTCAGGAACCATCTTGATGTAATGTTTCGTTAAGATGAAAAGACTGAATAATGGTATAGTTCCCTCTGTCCTAGTTAAAACAGGCTAAAATACAAAATCTTTAATAAATGGCCTTCAAGCCTCTATAGACATCTATATTCAGACAACTTTTAAAATTCTTTAGCTACCTACTCTGCTTTTTCCTGTTTCTGTCCCAGAGACACAATCTACCCACCTGACCTCCTCCACCACTCAACCTGAACCATCCTAGATTGTGCCAAACTCCTTTTCCAGCTCATCTCAAGTTCTAATCCTTTGGGAATCCTTTAGGGCTGAACATTCTCAGCCAACACCCCTAGTCTGTATGCTGAAGTCCTAACATCTGCACCTCAAAAGGCAATCATATTTGGAGCTGAAAATTTTACACAGCTTATTAAGTTAAATTGTGCTTGAGTCAATAAAACATTATCTTTAAACAAAGAATTAGAACAGAGACAAACATGGAGGAAGATGCTATGAGGACATAAGAAGATGCTGTCTATAAGCCAAGGGGGTAGAGACCCCAAGAGAGACCTGGCCTTTACCTCCAATTTCCAGCTTCTCTAACTATGAGAAAATAAGTTTGGGCTGTTTAGGTCACGAGGTCTGTATGCTAAATTAAAGCAGGCCAATAAACACAGTCCTTAAGCTTAGAACAAGTAACAAAATACAGTGTGTGGCACACGTCTACAATGCCAGCATTTGGGAGGCTGATGGAGGAGGATTATGAGTCCAAGGCCAATGCACATTGCAAGCCCTTGTCAAAAAGAAAAAAAAAAAGCAAATGCCTCCTGCCAATTCCTTTGCCACACAGAGCAGGCATACCACTACATTGTGTTTATTCACTGTCATATGCTAGCTGGTTTCGTGTCCCACCAGGATTGCAAGCTCTTTAAGGTCCAATACATTACTTTTGACATTCCTCATGATGCCCATTTTGGGATCCTACACAATAAACATGTGATTACTTTCTACTCTCTATTAAATTAAGGAGTAGAAATGAAGCTCTTTGATTACTTTCTCTAAATAAAGTTGGCCACTTTACTGCCTTGTTTTAGAATACAGTTTGTTTTTTAAATTATTATTTCCTAGAAAAACCCAAACTACAGACTAGCACACAGGCTGCTCTGACTGATGTCAATTCACCTCTGTACCATATCTGGGTGGCACTCCTTACCATGTAACCCACAAACCTGCGTTTCCAGTTTCTGAAACCTAAAAGTACCTTCTGCCTCTCCTTTACTTGGCCACTTTGTATAGAAAGATTCAACTGGAACTATAAAGCTTTTGCAATTTGCCAACAGCAACACTTTATCTCTCTGCAATTACCCCATAGTGATTTCAATTCATCAGCTTGTATACGTGGATCCATCAGAAGATCCTCCACAAGCTCCCCCATAAAAGCCCTGTTTTCATCTGTGAATTCCTAGCACAAGGCTTGGCAGGTGTAGGAAAAGCTCACTAGACTTGAGGATTTAACTATTCAGAGCCTTGTAAAGCACAGCACAGCACATTTTCTCTGCGTTTTCTGAGATTTTGTAGCTGTACTAACAATTGGACTATGATACCCTCTGTATCTCTGCTCAGACTTCTTCAGACTCCAATCCCTGGTTGTCTTCTGAACAAATACATCTCAGTGAACCCACTTGTCCTACATGGTACTTGTAATCCACACTGTCACACATGCTTGTCTTCATACATTGCCTCCTTAGGCTGAGATGAAGCCAGCCAGGTGTCCTCAGGCAGAAAGTTATTCTCTTTTCATTGCCCTTTGGCCCATCTCTGATACCTGTAAATCCAGCCCTCAATTAGTTCTAGTACAGGGACAACTAAAATGGCTTCTCAAGTTATCTCCTTGTCTGGAGACCTCTATGTTAACTCTTTTGTTGCTTTTAGTGTTCCTATACCTAATTTCCCCCACTACATAATACCGTCAATTTCTGAGGGTGAGCTTTTATCGACAATTTCTATTTCTGCAGAACGATGTTCCCTATACTTCCACTAAATAAAATGCTGTACTGTTAAGTGCATGGGCTGAATTAGAGCCATTTTTAAGTAAGCCAAATTTCTCCTTTAATGTCAATATTTAGGGATTTGATTAAGGGTAATGATTAATTACCAGACGTAGAGGAGGGTTTTTGGTGGAAACACTAAAATAGATTAACCTATTTTTCGCCCTCTTAAACAAGGTGGGAGGATCATGAAACAAATCCAGGAACTCATGACTCAGGGTCATGCTGATGAACAATCACCGGACTATGCTGTAACACAGATGTCCGAAGACATAGAGGCAATTGGAGTTCATGCACCAACACAAAAATTCCAGGCTTCGGAGGACTGCTCAGTGTCCCTCAACACCGCCCCCGTGTCGGGAAACCTCAAGGAGAACCTAAGGCCCCCTGCAAAGTGTTACAGTGTGTGGTTCTCTAGTACCCAGGCCTCGGGGCCGCACAGTGCACGGTTCTTTGATTACACCGTGCGGTCTCTTTAGAGGGGCACTCGAGATGCTTCTAATAACCAGGCCTAGGAGATGGGGAGACCCGGACGTGTGCGCTGCAGTAAGGTCTTCCGCGCTATGTCCCTGGGCGAGGAGGGTCTTTCTCGGGGGAGGGGGGACGGACAGGCAGGGTCTGCATGGGCTCAGGAGGTGTCCGCAGAGGGGCTGGCCGACAGGCTGTCACGTTCCAGCCGCGGCAGGTGCGGGGTGCCGCCCAGCTCCCCGGTCTCTCGCACGCGTGCTGCCAGGCCCTGAATGTGCCCTTGCCCGCAGCGGCATCTCAACGGCTCTGTAGGGGCGCGCGTCCCTAGACTCCACTCCCTGGCTACCCAAGCCATCCCGGTCAGGGTGAGCAGCTCAGCGGGCCCGGAGGCTGAGCATGCGCAGCAGTGAGGGTGAGGCCAAGTGCGGGCACAGAGCATGCGCAGTGTAAAGGCACGCTAGGCTACGTGGGAGTCTGAGCATGCTCGGTGAGGACGGCGGCCCCGCGCACGCGTAGAAGGGCCGGGCGCCCGCAACCCACTGGGGGAGGAAAAAAGAAGAGAAATCACCTCAGAGTTACGTCAGGAAAGGCCGCGTTTTGCGGGGAGGCCGTAACCCCCAACAGGGCCTGACGCCCTTCGAGGGCGCGAGACGTGACGGTTACTCACCACTCTTCAGCCCCGGGGCAGGCGCCTGGTCCCTTTCCTCTCACACTCGGCTAGCGCAACCCGCAGCCGCCGCTGCCGCTGTGATTCCATCCATCTTGAATTTGACGTCATCCCACACCAGGGATGAGGTCATCGCAGGCAGCGCTCGTCACGTGCGCGGCGGTGGGATTGGGTGCCGGGCGGCGGAGGGCGGGCCGGGGGCGGGCCTGCGGGAGCGTGGGTGCTTCTCCGAGGAGGCGCGGCCACGAGCTGTGGAGTTCGGGGACGCCCCGAGGGTAGGTGGCGATGTGGCTGTGGGAAGCCCCTGAATGCGGAGCTATCGGAAAGTGGCTTATTTCCATTTCTTTCTCCTGGAGAGAGCTGTAGTGAACAAAATGAGCTCTCAGGCTCGCCTCCCTTCAGATCAGCAGTTCCTCTTGCTCGCTCTGTGGCATCTGCCTGTCAATCACAGATCCAAACCTCTCCCTTTTAAAACGGCGTGGAAGCTGGGCGGGATGGTTCACGAATGTACTCCCAGCACCCTAGAGGCTGAGGCAGAATTCCTGTTAGCTAGTCTGAACTACAGAGTGAGACCCTGTTTCATTAAAACAACAACAAAACAAAACAAAAAACCCACACAACTCTTCTTCGGCAACATCAATTCTCTTTTAGCCTCTTTGTATGAAAATTACAGTTCCATTTGTCAGATGATTTTGTATTCAGCCAAACCCAGACAGCTAGGTAACAAATGCCAAACTGCAAATCCCAGCTGTGTAAAACGGGTCTCCGGGCCACAGGACAGTCGGACAGTTCTCTAGAGCCTGGAACATAGCAACAGACAGTCTCACCAAGTGAAATCTCTGTAACAGACCTTAAAAATGCCTAGATCTTAAATTAGGTGTCCTAAATTTCAAGAAGCCTGTGGTTTTCAAATCTACTTCAGAAGGTGGGTTTTAGCCACATCAGTAAAGGTAAATTATGAAGTGTATGAGGGATATGTGGGAGAAGGAATCTTACATTAGGTTGATCCAAATGGTCAAAACAACAACAAAACCCAACTTCAAATGAATAGCTCTAAATTTTTAGTTTCTTTAGTTTCAAGACTTTAGAATTTCACACTTAAAGTTTTCTACAGTCATTCAAGGTTTTTGTTTTTTTTTAATGTCTTTGTATTTTGAACTTTGTGACAGTTAAAGCAAGAAGTTCTTGTTAGAGGCTTTCAGAGGGCCACCTGTGATGAGGCTGTTAATATGCACTATTGCCCTCTTTTTACAGGCCAGAAAAATCAGTATTTTAATGCAGAGCCTGAGGCCCAGAGAGAAGCCAGATTTCTTTTTTATAACCACATAGAGTGCAAAGCAGCCTCTCCAACTATCCCTCAGCTATCCAAAGCTCATTGGCTATGTCTCCAGTGCCTGCTGCCCGTACACTAGGCATCTCCATGTTCAACCATGGTTGCCCGTTCTCCTAACTGCCAAACACAACAGAAACTTTTGGATCTTTCAGGTCACCTTTGGCATGTGATATTTTATCAGTTCCTTCTTCAGACCCAATGGCAGTGCTATGCCATTTTGCCCTGGGCTTCCTACCCTGGCTTGCACCTTCCTGGACTCCTGTGTTGTTTCCCTGCCCATACCCACACTTTGGATTTCTGAGGGCTCTGGCCTTGCTTGTCCTGTTACATTTACTCTGCTCCACTTCTTCCATTCCAGGGAAGATGCTCTGACAATACAGTTACTTTAAGCACCACCCCGTCACACACACACACACACACACACACACACACACACACACTTTCTAACTGCTCTCCCAGCCTCCAGGTTTTACTCCACCCTGGCTTTGCAACCGAAAAAGTCTTTTAAAATGTTCCCTTGCTCCCATGTTAACACTAGGTTCTCCATTGCTTTTAGACGAGAGTTGAACTTCATTCTGCAATAACCTGATAGCTTGGTCCACATCTATGTAGACAAGCCTTGCTTATCTCTCCTCTCAGCTCACCTCTGAGCTTCAGGTGTATTGGTTCCTCCACTGGAGCGAACTTGTACCTTCTACCCTGTCCTGTCATCTGTAATTGCTCTGGGATTCTGCCGCTTCTGCCCTTCTGCGATAACTTCAACTTTGTTCTGGGGTTGATGCTGCTACATCTTTGTGCTCATTAGTGTCTTTTGTAGGGTTTGGCTGTTGCTACCTGTATGTGCCATTGGATTTGCCTCCCATAGACTTCATGTCTGCCTCTGGACTGAAGTAGAAGTCCATCCTGATTCTACCCCTTGATAAGCACTAATCAGGATCTCTAGCTCTGCCTCCATGTCAATGTTTATACACACATTGTTTATTTAACCACCTCATTAGCAGTTATCACTTGGACGACCCCCAGCCATGGACTTCACAAGCTGGAGTCCATGAAAGGGACTCAGAGCTGAATTTATCTGCTCTGTCTATCCTTAAACCTGTTACTTGATGTCCTGTCCTACTTAAAGGGGCTGCTACCTGCTCTACTACCCAAATTGGAAACTTGGGATTACTCTCAATTTCTGCCTTCAGCTGTCACTAGGTCTTATCAGGTTACCTCTCAGGTATCCCTTAGGTCTGTCCTCACTGGCTCTAACTCTTCCTGGGCTCCAGTCCTAACTCTGGCCAATCTGTGGCTACTCGACCAATTTCTGGTTCCCCTTTCCCTAGTGGATTCTGGTTTTAGCTGGATGTATCCTTTTAATTGAATGTCTCATCAACTTGTGTCCAGGTACTCTCTCTTGTGGCTTCCAGTGGTCTGCTGCCTCAGCAACCCCAAGCATGGCTGCTTGGCTTTCTGCCTGTCCTAGACCAGTGCTCACAACCCTCACCAAGACCTCCTTACCAGCTAGCTCCCTCTTCCCTCTACATAGCACACCCACATTCTCTCTCATGATCAAACCCGCAGCCTCCTTCCTTATGCTTTAGTTGGCCTCTGTAACATCTATGCCATTTCTTTCTTGCTGTTTGAAGGCCTTTTTCTCCCCTAGCATGAATGTTCCTTTGGTATGGAGACTGCCTAGTAACCTGAATGTTCCCAGACCTTTGGGCTCGTTGCTAGGGCTGTGTCTTGGCCCAGTTACTCCCCATGGCTAGAGTTTTCCCTCAGAAACTGGGTTACAATGTCGTACAATGCTGTGGTGTTATAAAATTCTGTCTGAATTTCTTGTGCTAAACAAACACATTCTCCTAGTAAGCTAGAGAGGCATTTCTAGGTGGGATTTGAACAAGTTTCTGCATCTTTGCAAATGGAAAGTTTTACTCAGCTGTGTGTCTCTTAAATATCACTTCACTTTGAACACATACCTGGACATCTAAGTTTGCCCAGCTTGTGGTTTAAATGGTTGTTCCTTTAAAGAATTAGGCTGGGGTAGAGGGTAGAGGTTGTCATATTAGTGTCTTATAATTGCTGTGATAAAGTACACCAACCTTTTTTGTCAGTCACAATTCAGTAGGCAAGTGTCCGAAGTTAGTACCACTAGGCTAGAGTCTGGTGTCTGCAGGGTCCTGTTCCCATGGAGGATACTGGCACAGTATCCCTAGCCTCTACTTCTGGTAGCTGCTGGCAACTCTGTCTATAGCTGTGCCATTGAAGCCTTTGCCTCCACCATCATGTGGCCTCTCCTGTTTGCCTAGTCTTCCTCTGCTTCTTATAAAGACATCTGGAGAGGAATTCCCCCATCCCCATCTCCCAGGCTTCTCAGCTCAGGTCCAGGTAGGTTCAGAACCCAGGAGACTTGCATCATCATGGTCCCCTTGGCATGGGTGAAGTTGGATTGGATTAAATGTTTATTTCACTGCTGAGAAGCCTGGTCATTAAAAAGAGCATAAACATAAAAGGGGCTGAAGATATGGGTCATCGGTTACTACCCTTGCAGAGGACGTGGTTCAGTTCCCTTTACCCATATCAAGCTTCTCACTATAACTCCAGTTCTGGGAGATCCAACACCCTTTGGCCTTAATGTGCATTTGCATGCATATAGGACACATAAACTTGCACAGCCACACATACACATAAACAATACATCTTTAAAAATATGATAAAAGAAAATGGATGCTAGGCTGAAGGACAGCACCCTAACAGAACAGTAGTCACTACTGTGTTTTTCTCTTCCCTTCAGCATCCAACCTGCTTCTTGTTACCATGAGACCAGCCTTGCTGTATCTGCAAGTCAGCAAATGGCACAAGTAATATCTGGATTGTGTGGACCACCTTCTGCATTTAGTTAAGTAGGAAGTAGGTGTAGGTAGGGGTGTGTGTGTGTGTGTGTGTGTGTGTGTGTGTGTGTGTGTGTGTGTGTAGTAATTCTGGCATGCATAATCACCATGCCTAACTTATTATGGACTGTGCACAGTAATAAGACAGGTTGAGATAGAAGGAAAGAGGATGCAGAATATGGTACCTTTGAACTATGCACCACAGGGGTTCTTTGGTAAACCTCAAAAAATGGGGTCCCCAGGGTTAGGGATGGCAGCTATAGTTTAACAGTATCCACCCTTGCCCTCAGCTGTGACTATGTGTACAGACAATAATACTTAAGGGTAGTAATTCCTGTTTCACCCACTGAGAAAGTGAGGCTCACAAAGATGAGAGTGAGAACATCTAGTGAAGTCATTCAGGATATTCAGTTCAAGCTACTCTGAGATCATTTCAGATTCATGAGGTTGAATCTGTTAAACAAGAAGCCCATAGCTTAGTTTTCCCTTGATGGAAAAGGGTGAGTTTAGAGCACATCACTCTGGTGCAATGAATCTGGAAGGGAGAAATATGTGCATGCCTGACAGCAAGCTGGAATGAAGCAGGAAGCACAGAGCTTCCCACTGCAGGGCACAGGTTTGATCAGTGACTTGTGGATGAACTATTTTATGAAGAGGT